CCACGCTTAGAATTTGTTATCAACAGTTTTCCGGTTCAAGAGTCCAGTGTTTATTGAAATTTATGGTCACACGTGGAAAGTGCATGACTAAGGAGACGAGACTAGACTCAAATGTTTACGATGCATCTAATATTGCACAGCTGATATCTCCTTAATCTAGGAGAAACTCGACGGTGGGAACATTTTTATCGTTCACAGATGTGTGCAGCCGAAATATTCCTAACATCGAGGGGGTCACATTCCCCGGTCACAGAAGATAATTTGGGTTTCAAAAGTCGCTTCTATCACTGAGATAATTGAATGACGACGTAAGAAAATGAATTTAAATGAATTTTCTGACGGATGTCACAAAACAATTCCGTGTGTAAAAAAAATGCACTGATTGTATGTATTTCATGTATTCCTTATTTGAGGTTAGAAATCCATTTTTAATTCTCGTGAATTTTTTCCAAAAATCAGATAAAGATTCTGATGTCCTAACATCAACTTGAAGTACTCTCTCACCATCGATAATTTTTCACAATTCCGGGAGGGATGGGTGCAACTGCACACAGTCAACTGAACACATCCGCAACCAAAGAGGATAGACCTGAGTAGAGGCCCGGATCGGGGGGTTTGACTGACTCCAAAAATGTTAGTTGGTACCCCACGGGAAAGGCGGCGTCCCGGTCGAATTGTCGGTAAATGTGAGTCGGGTGCGTGAGTAACTCGGCAGTAGCAGTTCTGCTGTGACAGGGACAGGTTCGGAGGGGGACTTTTGTCCTCCTTGTACTCAATGTTTACTTTATGTTTTTCAGTTGATTTATTCGCCGACTAATTAATATTAAGGGATGAAACAAAGAATGTTCAATGGAGAATTAAATTCCCCATCCATCAACCCCCGTTTCATCTCTTAATCTCTGTAATAAAAAAATAAAAACTGCGACGAAAGTCGCGGCGCTATGAAAAACTCAATGGTTTCTCGGCGCAGTGACTCCCGACAACTCGCCCGCTAATTAAAAAATCGTATCTCTGCTCCTAATTAACATTAAGGAATGAAACCAATGCTGTTCGATGGAGAATTAAATTCCCCATCCTTCAACCCCCGTTTCATTCCTTAATCTCTGTAATAAAAAAATAAAAACTGCGACGAAAGTCGCGGCGCTATGAAAAACTCAATGGTTTCTCGGCGCAGTGACTCCCGACAACTCGCCCGCTAATTAAAAAATCGTATCTCTGCTCCTAATTAACATTAAGGAATGAAACCAATGCTGTTCGATGGAGAATTAAATTCCCCATCCTTCAACCCCCGTTTCATTCCTTAATCTCTGTAATAAAAAAATAAAAACTGCGACGAAAGTCGCGGCGCTATGAAAAACTCAATGGTTTCTCGGCGCAGTGACTCCCGACAACTCGCCCGCTAATTAAAAAATCGTATCTCTGCTCCTAATTAACATTAAGGAATGAAACCAATGCTGTTCGATGGAGAATTAAATTCCCCATCCTTCAACCCCCGTTTCATTCCTTAATCTCTGTAATAAAAAAATAAAAACTGCGACGAAAGTCGCGGCGCTATGAAAAACTCAATGGTTTCTCGGCGCAGTGACTCCCGACAACTCGCCCGCTAATTAAAAAATCGTATCTCTGCTCCTAATTAACATTAAGGAATGAAACCAATGCTGTTCGATGGAGAATTAAATTCCCCATCCTTCAACCCCCGTTTCATTCCTTAATCTCTGTAATAAAAAAATAAAAACTGCGACGAAAGTCGCGGCGCTATGAAAAACTCAATGGTTTCTCGGCGCAGTGACTCCCGACAACTCGCCCGCTAATTAAAAAATCGTATCTCTGCTCCTAATTAACATTAAGGAATGAAACCAATGCTGTTCGATGGAGAATTAAATTCCCCATCCTTCAACCCCCGTTTCATTCCTTAATCTCTGTAATAAAAAAATAAAAACTGCGACGAAAGTCGCGGCGCTATGAAAAACTCAATGGTTTCTCGGCGCAGAGCGCTTCCCCATTAATTCGCCCGCTAATTAAAAAATCGTCTCTCTCCTCCTAATTAACATTAAGGAATGAAACCAATGCTGTTCGATGGAGAATTAAATTCCCCATCCTTCAACCCCCGTTTCATTCCTTAATCTCTGTAATAAAAAAATAAAAACTGCGACGAAAGTCGCGGCGCTATGAAAAACTCAATGGTTTCTCGGCGCAGTGACTCCCGACAACTCGCCCGCTAATTAAAAAATCGTATCTCTGCCACTAATTAACATTAATGAATGAAACCAATACTGTTCGATGGAGAATTAAATTCCCCATCCTTCAACCCCCGTTTCATTCCTTAATCTCTGTAATAAGGAAATTAATATT